TGGGTCGAACCAAACCCACCCAATCTAGAATTCCGATCGAGCAGCTCTTTTGACCGATCGATCGTAGCCTACTCGCTTTGCTGGAGCCCGGGTTCTGCACAGTGGCGATGCGACACAGGCGAAGACACAGAAGATCTCTGTGCCCAAATCAGATTTCCTCTTGATCAATGCAGGTGGGACGGCTGTCCGTCGTGTCCGAACGGAGGCTTTCTAAGAGCACACGGACTTGAAGAAGAATCATGTTGTCTCCCCATAAAATCAACGTGCTTTTGGCGAACCTGAATCGACCATTCGTCATCCATTGACTCACCAGTCGTCAGCTTGAGTCGAGGAACTTGGCTTTGTAGTGGGCAGCTACGTGGAGTACCAAAGATACAAGAAATTGGAGAAGAGAGAAATATGAAAAGAGATGAAAGGAGCCACTGGACTCTGAAGATCATCCCCAAACCCTGTGGATCCACATGCCTTCTGAGAAGGTGATTGGAGACTATTTATGTAGGATTGGAGAGCCCAAATACCTTCTGAGAAGGTATGTGCATCCATAGGGAAAAGGGGCTCCTGTTGCACATCCTCAGATGGTCGTTAGCTTCGGAAGGGTAGGTCGTTGGAGCCGGAACCCATCCGGGAAAAAAGCCTGTCGTGATCTTTCAATCTAATCTATACCAAACCACGTGCGTGCGAAAGCTCCGTATAGCTGGCCCCGCCGTGGCAGGGAGACAAGTCCCGATGAGAGTCTTGTGACCGGGCTTCGAGATTGACATCGGATGTGTTGCAGTTGACTGAGAGTCAGTGGATCCTTTTTGGGGTCTGTTTGGGGATCCTCAAGCATGATAGAACTGCACCAAAAGACGACCAGAGGGTGTTTCAGATTTCAGACTGTTGTAAGAGAGGTTCACTTTGAGATTTGGTCTTATGGGTCACTAATCAGACTGATGTCGGTCTGACAGACAGTCTGATTGATCCACTGGAGCAATTCCATTGCTCCACTCGCTTCACCGATGGGAACCACCGGGTCCAACCGGACCGGACCGGTCGTGCGTGGTTTACGGTGAAGTCCGAGCCGATGGGCGAAAACATGAGAATCGGAGCTTGAAGTTTTATTAGATCTCAACATGACATCAACAGATTTAATAATAAGACATGACAAATGACATTGTACTGCAAAAACATCCATTCAGTGATCTACCAATTCCTACCAATAATCAATTCCTACCAATGGTCACAAGGTCTTAATAAGGCAATGTACTGCAATAACTCAATCACCATTCTCACGCACCTTCGGGCTTTTAACAGAGGCCCTGGTACAGCGAGGAACCTCGTAGGGTTTCTGGGTGCGATTCTTCAAGAGATGATGGATGTGTATGAAACAATATGGAGACTCCCAACTGCCCCTTGGGATGATCAACATATCGTCTAAAACCTTTGGCTTTGGCGTTTTCGATCTCAAGCACCGACCATTCAAAGCAGTTCCTTTTCGATCTCTATAGGACCAGAGCGTTCGGTAGCAGCTCTGTGCGACGAGGTACAGCGATGAGACCTACAGCCAACTGGCCACGGCCATTCAGAAGGGCCAGCTGAGCGTGAGTGACAAAGCCGGCCTGGCTGGAGCCCCAGGATGGGTGGGTGAAGATTTACCTTGACATGTCTTGACCGAACATGATGGAACAAATAGAGATGTTACCATCTTAGCTTTGCTTGGGGTGATTTTCATGACCCTGCCTCCAACAATCATGGAAGCTGACCAGGAGTCCCTTGAGGAAAATTGTCTTACAGGGGCCGAACTGTTCCACTTCCATGACTTGTTTCAGGGAGTGTAGTTGTCGGAGGGTGAACATTGGTAAAGCCATGGCTGTTGGATTCGCCAGTTGCTGTGGCAGTAGATGGCACTGGCACCCCAAGATGTCTTTTAGATGGGGGTCCATATGGGTGTGTATTTTAATAGGGAACCCTCCCTGGCCCCAACGGGTTTTGGTTTATTATGTCCCTTCTTCCAGGGGGCTCGTTGCCTGGGAGGTCTCCCTATTTCAATAATTACCATATAAATCCATATAAACCATCGACCAAGATGTCCTTTAGGAGGGAGTGTGTGTATGTCTCCATGGGTGAAATCATGTTGAATCCCCTTCTGGGGAAACATGTTTTGTCTTTTTTTCCCCCGGCTGCTCTGACAGCACATCCGATGCCATGCAGTTCTCAAAATTGTGGGACTCTGGGTTCTGCTTGTTTGGAGACACACCTTCATAGCTGATCTGGAACCACACGTCAAATCGGTGTTAGCTGCTTAGCTGCTCCTCAGGAGACAGATGGATCACACAGATTGACAGGTTCACCCAAAGGTCCATGTGGAGGATTGGCTCCAAAAGATACATGCAATGCAATGCACAACCACTTTAACGTATAATAGATCCATATAAATCAAATTAATAATATGTACTGACATATAATAGAGGCACCTCCCAGTTTGACTGGGAGGATGCACAATAGAGCCTCTCTTTCGGCGCATACATACCTACATACCCATGTGACTTTCACATGCTAACCTCAACATTTAGTGAGGTTCTTGGCTTGGACGACGATGTCACCATCCACATTAGGCCCTCTGCAATGTGACCAGTTCCTCAAAAGCCATCCAAACTATTTCCAACTTCGATTACTTAATATTTCTTCGAACTCTCGGCCGACTCCGCACGTGTGTTTTCACACGCCGCTGGTCTCCGGACCTTCCGAAATCGGGGGCGTCCTGTCTGCAGTTCCATAATACCTTTTGTGGGGGATCTCGGTGGTGTGGGCTGAAGCGAACTCCTCGTCTAGTGGGTTGGACGGAAGCACTTCCGAACCGAACCTGACCCGTCGCGGGGCGCGGGTCGTGTCCAGGTCTTGGATTCCTTCGCCCTGGCGAAGTCTGGTCATCTTGGGGCTGACAAGGCGCCAGTTCCGCGGAGACCAGGGGTGCCCCAGTGGGTGCCTCCCCAAGATGGACGGACAGGTGCTCAGGACTCAGACTGCTCCGTTCGGCACCGGCCTGGGCGGATTTTTGGGGGAGCACTCAGTTTGGAACAGGTGGCCGCCAGGTTGAAACCTGTCCCTGGGGATCCCTGGTGCTGTGGCCTGCCAGGTCTTCAAGCTGATTGCTTCCTTCCGCAGCGAGCGTAACTTCATCGTGTGGGATGCCATATCGCAAGCTTTGCTGCTTGGTGGGAGCTGGCTGAGTTTTGCTGTTTGGGGGTCACTCTTTTGGTGACCTAGGCTCTCCTCGGTTATCCTCGGCTCTGGGTCCGGTTGGAACAGGACGGAAGACCCGGACATCAAAACCCTCAAAAGGCCGAGTTTTTCAGACAGATGGGTGTCCCGATTCTGGTGGAGAGGGAAGAGAGGGGAAGAGAGTGAAGAGAGGGGGGACGGCACCGGTGGTTTGTGAAGAAGATCTTACTGGCAGGTGTGGAGCCTACATATTCATATATAGAAGCATCAAGAGCTTGAACCGGGACTTACCAAATGCAAGGGCAAGGCTTCTATGTGTATATATATATATATATTTAGGAATGTACAACAAAAATATGTGGTTCATACAGCAAGACTTCAAAGCCAACGAGAAGTAAAGGCAAATTTACACAACCAAAACCATTTTCTCACAACAGTGAATGATATTGTCGAGTCAAGCCCCTTGGCCACGCTTGGCCAGCATCCATTTTTGTTGTTTTAATATAGTTTTACATATTTTTACGCTTGTGAGTCGGTTGCATAGCGCTTCCCCAAGTGCTGATGTGCTTCTTGATAGATACCAGAAACTCGTAAACACAATTGAATACAATTGAACGCTTTGTACCGTGCTAGTTAATCCTTTCATCTGACAAAGACATGACCAAAATATGTCCAAGCTCACAGACAAATGCATGATAATGCATGCATACATTACTTTAAGTTTCAATATTTGATATCTATATCAGTATAATATCTACGCTTGAATATACAGATTTATGTGTAGATTCCTTCTAATATTTGTTGGAACAGCGCCTCTACAATCCTATAGATGTACAATACATGTCCAGACTGCCTTTCCTATCTATGAATGAGAAGGTATTTTTGTCGGCCACATCGACCGGGAAGACGGGGTGAGAGCATCAGCCTGCCGTTTGCGGCTTTGCCCGCAGTGTACGACATGGGTTGTATGTGTCTTCGCGGAACCTGTGGATCCAGCTGTTGGGAAAAGTGATGGAGCCAAGTCTAGAGTCTAGAAACCTCTACCCTGACAGGTCAAGACCTCATTTTACTGGATCCAATTCCGCAGAAAACTGCTTCTGAATGAACAAACACTGGCCAAGTCTTGGACTGGAGCCTGGCGGGTTGCCGTGGTCACTGTTTATTCACTGGGGATCAGTGTCTTCTCAGGACTGGCTTCGACACTGTTCTCATGGCTGGCGTCAGTGCCTCTCGGACCCCCAGTGCAGGTGTACTAACGCATCAAGAGTAGTCACGTTGACACTGAAAATGAAAAAACAAACACAAGCAAACCTCAACTATTTTTGTTGCACACCACCCCTTAGAAAGCAAGCATGGACAGGCCCTGGCAAGATGTATGCGCAGTCTGGAGGCTCCATTTACAGTAGTCTTCAAGGGGCAGTGAAAAGAGTGTGGATTGAAAGGAAATTCCCCCAAATCACCCCCTGGAAGATTATATGTATACCTTTGGTTGGGAAGGCTCACTATTTACATATAAATATCCACAATATACAAACCAGTTTGTTCAGTCGTGGGTTCCATCATGCAAGGGTGAAGATACATGGGCCTGGGGACTTGTGTTAGGACTCAGCAAGTGAGTGGAACAAACAACGTGCGACGCCCTGCTGGCACATGGCGAAACCAGACTTCAGAGGGTTATAGATGCAGAGAACATTCGATCTTTATTGACTTCGTTGTCTCTCGTCCCACTCATCGAGTTCTACACTCCAAATCATGCTCTGAAAACCAAGTCTCGTGTCACAGGATGGCATGGTTTTGGCATGAGACTTGGCGCTCAGGACGCGACCTATGCGGCTTTCAAGGCCTTCGTCTCCAAGCTCATTGCCGATGCCGCGAAGGAGGTGCGGGTGGGGATGGATGGAACTCCTACGGGTGGAGACTCATTGGGATGGCAAGTAGATAAGGTTTAGGGTTTAGGGTTGTTGGCTGTTTTTTGGACTCTTTTGATCTTTGGACTCTTTTGATCGTGTAAAGTACACTCCATGTACTTGAGAATCAGCTGTCAACCCATGTTTTCCGAATCCTTTCACCTGCAGAGGGCGGGTACTCAAGAGCTCCAGCATCGGCCGCGGAAAAGAGAGATCTCGCACGCTCTCTTTCGTTCTGGGGAACTTCGTGTGTCTTCAGACCCTGCTACCACCGCAGTTGCATGGTAGCGGAGCCCCAACCGGGGCTCCAGACACGCTACCGCTGCGCACTCCACTTGCACAACAACAACTGAACATACACACCACCAGCAACAACACCTCACTGAACACCACTCCACAGACACGACTGCTCCAGCACCCATGGCTGGCACCTCGACCTTAGACACCACCAGCCTGAGGGATAGCTTTATCCCGCAGTTTGACGGCCAGCCCCAGTCCTACAGAGAATGGAGGAAGAGAATAGCCATATACCACCACAAGATGACCCTCCAGAAAAGATCCGGTGAGAGCCTGCTCAATCTCATCGGAAGCTTGCAGGGTGCTGCATGGAAAGTCGTTGAAGACTACGATCTCAAGAAGATCGAAAAGGAGGGAGCATTCGATGAGTTGATGGGCATGTTGGATAAGGCATTTGCCTATGACGACAGAGTTCAAATGCCGCAGGATTTTGAGAACTTCTTCACCCACAACCTGCGCAAACCTGGCTCCACACTGTTGCAGTTTTGCACAGAGTTTGATGAGAAACTTCGACGCCTTCAAGCTCACGGCGTGAAGTTGCCGACAACTGTGCAGGGCTGGTTTCTTCTCAAAAAGGCCAATGTGACCAGGGAGCAGCGACAACTTGTGCTCACTCATGCACCCGGCCTCGAGAGGAACAAGGTCCAAGAAGCCTTGTACTTGTTTCTTGGCCAGGATCACAAAGCAGCCGTGGTTCCTGAACGTCGTCCATTTGGACGAGGCAAGGGGCACAAAGCCTTTGTGGCTGAAGAAGGCTGGGATGATCTCGATGAAGCCTTCTACCAAGAAGACCACGGCTGGGAAGATGACTATGAGGCTCTGGCCATTGAATCCTGGCAGGATGACGACTTCGGCTTCGATCAAGAGGCCGGTTACTACCAGTACGACAATGAGCATGAGGATGAAGAAGAAGGTTTTGTCGCCACCTCTGATGGCCCCTGGGACATCGATGAATATGACTCAGCCTACGCCAGCTACCTGGATGCCAGAAAGAGGTTTTCAGATTTGAGGTTGAGTCAAGGCTACTTGCCCATAGTTGCCTTGCAAGATGACACCAACCCATCCTCGTCTCCCAGTTCTCCACAGCGCCTCCACAAGGGCAAGGGTCCTCGAAAGGGGAAAGGCGGCAAAAAGGGCCGCTCCAGCACCATCAAGTATCCCTCTCGACCGGGAGGGAAGGCTCCAGATCCCAAGGCTCGTTCATTCGCAGCCATCCAGTGTTTGCGCTGCGGCGCATCCGGCCACATGGCCGCCAACTGTCCAAAGAAGGGCACCTCGACGAGTTCCAGTCCTTCTGCTGTCAACTCACCAGCCAAGCGACAGCACACGGAAGGCATGGCCGCAAACACCACCCCCATAGATGAACATGGTCATGTGATTTTTGAGGATCTCCAAGGTCGACAGCGTGTTGATTGCACCATGATTGACCCTGGTGCAAGCGCCTTTCTGATGGGCACCGGACCGTTTGAGCGCTACATCCAACACCTTCAAGAGCTGCAGTATCCAGTTGATGACATCCAGATGACTTCCATCAAGCGTGTTTTTCATTTTGGTGGAGACCACAGCGTGAGTTGTCACTGGAAAGCTAGGTTGCCGGTGTTTTTCAACCACAACTATGGCTACGTCACTGGATTTGTCATCTCAGGTGAGACACCTATGTTGATGGGTCGCCCCATCCTTGAAGCTCTTGGTTTGGCGCTCAACTTTCAAAAGAAGCTGTTGATGTGGGAAGACTCCCCCTGGCAGGACATCACCATTGGTCGACATGGGGAATACTTGTTGCCTCTCACAGCCGACTTCCAACCTGACATGCTCACTCGGCCACCGGCGTTCGACCTTGTCCTGGCAGATTCCGCCCTCCACGAGGATGTTGAGCCCTTCACCGTGGATTTCAAGACTTACAAGAGTCAGGAGGGGGTCTCTCAGGACGCCGGTCAGACGCCAGTGGCAGAGGGGAGCCGGAAGATCGTGCTGAAAGACTGGAAGCGCATTGACCATGCGCTCAACCACACAGAGCGCCAACTTCAGGCCATGGTTACTTCAGAACTTCATGCTCCACCCCGACCACGGTTGATTTGGGAAGTCTATGCTGGCGCCTCCAGAGTGTCAGCAATTGCAGAAACGTTGGGCTGCAAAGTTGAAGTTTTTAGATATGAGACTGGTTGGGACTTCGATGAACCCTCACACAGAGCAGCCTTTCTTCGCAAACAGCAGGACGAACTCCCTGATGAGATTTTCCTGGCTCCCAAATGCAGTCTGTGGAGCAAGATGCAAGCTCTGGCCGCCAACTCGCCCGAGCGAAAAGAAAAGTTGCAAGAAGAACGCCAATGGCATCATGATGTGCATCTTCGTTTTGTTAGGCAGATTTACCGCCGACAGGTCCTTGGTGCTCGCCATGCACATTTGGAACAACCCAAAGAAGCCTTGTCCTGGTACACCAGAGCACTTCAGAACTTGCCAGGCTATCATGTGGTTTTTCATCAATGTGCCTACGGTGCCTGTTGCAAGGACATTGACAACAGTTGGAAGCTTGTTCTCAAACCTACAGCCCTTCGCACCACAAAGAGAGCTATGGCACAATCGATGAACTTGTTATGTGACAAGAGCCACACTCATTGCACCTTGGAAGGACGCATGCCTGGTGGACGCCTTCGCACCAAGTACCTTGAGGACTACCAGCCGGCCATGGCATCAGTCCTTGCTGTAGCCCTGGCTGCCGAAGAGACACCACAGGCTTGGAATCAGGCCTACACCCTTGAGGACAGTCAGCCAGTTCGCTCACATCAAGGACGACTCATCCAACTTTTGACGACCAACAAACAAGAAGCTGTTCGTGTGGTCCAGAAATTGCACAGAAACCTTGGCCACCCAAGTGCTGAGAAGCTCACCGACCTTTTGGAAGTCAGAGGCGCTTCTCCTGAGGTTCTTGAAGTGGCACGTCAATACCATTGTGCCACCTGTGACATGTTCAAGAAGCCTGCACAAGCATCTCCGAGCTCGGCCAAGGTGGTCACGACCTTCAACGACCAGCTACAGTGCGATGTGTTTTGGATCATGAGTGGACAAAACAAGTTTCCAATCCTCTCCATGATTGATGCAGCCACCAAATGGCAAGCCGCCACCTTGTTGCAAGCTGAGAGGGGTGATTGTTTGATCGATGCTCTTCAGCGTTGTTGGCTTGCTCTTTTTGGTCCTCCTGCTCAACTCATCACTGACGAAGGAAGAGGTTGGCTTTCAGATGAGTTCACTCGCTTCACTGATGAACTTGCTCTCCAACACACCGTTGCACCTGGTGAAGCACATGAACGATTGGCATTGGTCGAAAGACGCCACGCTGTTCTTCGCAAAAGCTGTGAACTGTACTTGCGAGAAACTGCTCAAGAAGGAGGTTCTGCAATCCGAGAAGCCCTAATCTATGTGGTTCCTCAGTTGAATGCTCAGCCAAACGCTTCTGGCTACAGCCCTTCTCAATGGCTTTTGGGTCAACAGCCCCACTTTCCTGGAGACCTTCTCAATCCTCATTTGTCACCACTTCACCTAGAAGGCTCCAAGGGCTTTGAAGATGAGCTGCAAAAGCGAGCAACTGCTCGCATGGCCATTGTGCAGACAGACGTCGATCGCCGTCTTCGGCGAGGCCTCCTCCGAAAGTACTTCGGCACCAGCACTGTTTTCCAGCCTGGTCAACTTTGCTACTACTGGCGAGATGCCAGAGCGGCTGACCTGGTCAAGGTCAGATGGAAAGGCCCCGCAAGAGTCCTGATGCGAGAAGATGGTGACGATGGCAAACCTTCTCTCTACTGGATCAGCCACAAGACCCAGTTGCTCCGTTGTGCACCTCATCACCTGCGACCAGCCTTGGAGAAGGAGACTGACACCCTGATCAACGGCATCCAAGAAGCAAAGAAGGCTATGTCAGAGCTGAAGAGCAGAGGAGTCACCAGACTTTTGGATCTCAATGTGGCCAATCGACGTCGCATCGAAGACTTAGAGTCGGAAGAGGAGGAGATGGAACAAGAAATGGAAGAAGAAGAGGAAGACTTGCAGCCTCCTGTGCAAAGACGCCGACTTGAAGCACCAATTGGTTCACCACAAGCTGTAGCACCTGCGCTCAATGACGCCACTCAGCCTGCACCAGATGATGAACCAATACAGTCCGAACCGGATTTGGAGTACGCCCCTACATCCCCTGCACACAGTCAGCAAGGGGTTGAACCAGAACAACAGGCTCCACCAACCACAAGTCCGGCGCCACTTGCATTACCACTTGAGGCACCACCAGCAGTTCCAGAGAACCATCCGGACACACCTTCTCTGAACGAACCGTCCAGAGAACCCAGTCCGCCTCACTCAAGGGCCAGCCAGAACCATCCAGCATCCCAGCTGGACCCAGACACAGAGGCTCTGTACCAGCCAGCTCAACCTGGTGAGCGTTTTGAGCTGATGAGACGGCGATATGACCAACAAGAGACCATCTCCTTCGGCAATCGACGCTATCGTGGCATCCCTCAGACATCACAACCAGAAACAACCAGCACCTCCAACCACCGAGCCGGTCCCTATGATAAGCCATTCACTTCGGGCACTGACGATATCATTGGACACAGTTTTGAGGTCGATGCACTTGACCCTTCGTTCCCACCGCCCGGATGGCACATGGAAGATGGCTTCATCACCATGGACCGCAGTCCCCAAGACTACTGGGAGGTGAAGGCAGGTTGTTTGATACGCCACCACGTCGTGCCTCGACGAACCAAGTTCGGCCTTCAACAGCTCAACAAAAGAGAGCTCCAACACTTTCCAGTCTCACTGCAAAAGCTGGACTCCATCCGCATCACCGTGCGGAAGACAGGCCAAGAGCTCAAACAGGAATCTGATGTTTGGCAAAATGGAGCTGGTACCCCAACCAGAAAAGCATGGACTGGTGTCACAATCTTCCAGATCAACGGAGACACTCGTAAGGAGATGGGCATGACTACCCATGACACCCAGTCAGCCAAGCAGTTGGGCCGAAAGCAAAAGGCTATGGCAAACAAGAAGATGCAGAAAAACAAGGGTGAAATCCGGGAGCGTGAACTGTCCCTGGAACATCGCCTGCTCTTCCAACAGGCCAAGCAAAAAGAGTTGTCTTCTTTTTTTGAAAACGGAGTATGGAGCTTTCAGACCACCAAGGAAGCCACACCCGAAAGGACACTCACAAGCAGAATGCTGCTCAAATGGAGCAAGAATGCCGACGGCAGTCCCCGAGCGAAAGCTCGCCTGGTGGTGAGGGGATACGCTGACGTTGATGCATTGGCAGGCTCGCTCGAAACCTCCTCACCTGCATCCACTCGCCTCGGCAGAAATCTGTTTTTGAGTTTGAGCAGCTGCCTTGGATGGACCGGATGGTCTGCCGATGTTTCAACTGCCTTTTTGCAAGGCCTTCCACAAGAACGGAAGCTATGGGTGAAGTTGCCATCCGATGCACTGGCATTGTTGGGCGCAGACTCCAACACAAGAATGTTCCTCCACAAACCAGTGTACGGGCAACTGGACGCACCTCGTCGATGGTTTTTGGAAGCCAGCTCACGCCTTAAGCAGCTTGGTTGGGAACAACACTCCCTTGACCCCTGTTTTTGGAGATTGTTTGAGCCGCAAGATGGTGATGCCTCCACACCAAAGTTGGTGGGACTTCTTTGTTTACATGTAGATCACATGTTGGGTGGCGGTGACAAAAACTCAGCTGTCTACTGCCGCATGGAGACCGAAATCAAGAAGATGTTCAATTTCCGCACCTGGCAGCAAGATGAGTCTTTTGAATACTGTGGTGCGGACATGTCTCGGTCGACTGACGGCGCATGGACTGTGAGCCACCAGAAGTTCTTTGGAAAGGTCAAGCCCTTGACCATTGAGAAAGGCCGCCAAACTCACTCACCAATGACCCCAAAAGAGCAGAGTTTGCTCAGAGGTCTTTTGGGCAGCCTCCAATGGCCGGCAGTTCAGTCGAGCCCACACCTTTTGGCCAGCACCTCAATCCTTTCAGGCGAACTGAGCACAGGTCTGGCAGCACCACTTTTTGAAGCTAACAAGCTCCCAAGATTTGCCAAGGACAACAGCGATGTGACCCTGCGCTATCCACCTCTTGGCGCAATCCAAGACCTCCGACTCAGCTGCATGTTCGACGCAGCCCACGGAGTCAGACATGACGGCAGCAGCCAAGGCGGTTTCATCTGCCTCCTGACTCACAAGGAAGCCTTCGAAGGTGTAGAGACACCCTACCATGTTCTGGACTGGAAGTCCATGAAGCTTCCAAGTGTCGCCAGAAGTTCACTGGCTGCTGAGGCCCAAGCCTCAAGTGCTGCTGCAGACAATGTCGAGTTCATTGTTCGCTTTTGGAATGAGCTGTTCAACCCTCAACTTGAGTTGAAATCCAACCTGGCCCGGTCAGAGAGCTCACTACAACCAGTGCTGATTACAGATGCCAAAGCCTTGTACGACACTTACCATAGAGATGCCTTCAACCATGGCTCCAACGACAAACGCACAGCCCTGGAAGTGAAAGTGACCCGCCAACAAGTTGAGAGTTTTGGCGGAAGACTCAAATGGGTCAGTTCTGAACGCCAGTACGGCGACGGACTGACAAAGCTGTCAGCAAGGCAGCTCCTGGCCGACAGACTCAGACATGGATCCATCAAGTACACTTGGGATCCAACATACACCGCGGCAAAGAAGAAGCCGCTCGAAAGCCGATGGAGCAGTCGAAACGAGTTCACAACCACAGTACAACATGACACAACCACCTACAACCCACAAACACAACACCAAGCTCCACTACAAGCCACAATGGACGAGCACACGTCCCTGAAGCAGGAGCCACCACTACTCGAGGTTCCCCAGTCTGCCAATCTCAAAGAGATTGAAGCAGCCGGACCCGCTGTAGGTAGCATGCCTCCTAGCCATGGACGTGCGCTTTTTGCGCTGCTGCTGATGTCGGCACTCCCGCCGGCATGCGCTGCCGATGGCGACGAGAAGCCACCACACCTTGGGTGGCTCTGGTGGTTGGTCATGGTTTTTGTTGCTGCAGCAAGCTGCTTTTTGGGCCACTGGCTCACGCGGAGGCGAAACACGCCCATCGTGAAGAACCTGACGGACTCACTCCGAGAGGCAGTGAAACTCCGAGATGAAGCCCTGGATTCCATGATTCTCTACCGGCAACGTGCCATTGAGAATCAGAAAGCTGCGCGTGAACAACGCATAGCCAATGAGCTCGTTCTTCAAGAACTGGACCAGGCTCGCTCGGAACTACAAGAGCTAAGGCAACAACGACGCCAAAGCGGACCTCCACTCACGCCCCAGGAAGAAGCAGATCGCCGCATAGCAGCTGAGTCTCACTATCGTGAGACATTGCTGGACGCCAAGGGTCTTCTCCAGAGATGCTGGCGAGAAATGGTGGAACACGCGCGGACCTGTCCAATGAGAGATGAAGTGTTCATGGCCTCACGAGGTCGTGTCTGGCACCACAACCCGGACTGCCCAGTGCTCCAACGCCAAGCACTAAACGTCCGTCCAGTGAGTTACTGCACTACATGTGCTTCTCAAGCTGTACCACCAGATGTTCGCCATGCTCAAAGCCGACGTACCCTGAGCGAAGACCTGCATATGTTTTTCACGCACCATGGCATCGTCCACTACGAAGAACGTACTGCCAATCAGTACTACGTGTTTCAATGGATGCACGGTTGGCCAGGCCCATGGCCAACAGAAATGCAAAATGCAGGACTCGTTCCGCCTGATGACAGCTGAGTGTTTTCCCCTTTTCCAGAGTGTAAAGTACACTCCATGTACTTGAGAATCAGCTGTCAACCCATGTTTTCCGAATCCTTTCACCTGCAGAGGGCGGGTACTCAAGAGCTCCAGCATCGGCCGCGGAAAAGAGAGATCTCGCACGCTCTCTTTCGTTCTGGGGAACTTCGTGTGTCTTCAGACCCTGCTACCACCGCAGTTGCAGATCGTGTTTTCAGACATCAAGTAGCAAAAACAGAGGTCCGAGGCGTTCTTCCGATTGAGTAGCTCTTGAATTCTTTGGGTACTTGTTAAGACCTCCCTAAATTGGACATTGCCATGTTCAACGACTTTTGTTTTGGTCTTGGATGTGCCAAGCCGAGCGGGCACACCGTCGTCCTCCAACGTCGTCCTATACGCAGCACGGAGCGGACGACCGTCGGCCTCCGGAGCGGTGGATCGGCGCGCCGAGAGCGCCGTGACGGAGCTGAGCGCCTCCAGGTGGGCTGGGAAAAGAAGGCCTCAGATGGGCACTTGGACGGCCTTTTGCGAGACGCCTGGCGAAGGAGGTGAGGAGAGGTGAGGAGAGGTGAGAGGTGAGGATGGAGGGATGAGATCCATGAGGGCCGGGGGGAAGACAGCTGTTCATGGGACTTGATGAAGCGATATGCGATGCTAAAGCTTCTAGAGAACACATGTTTCATCACATCTTATATGGTTTTATCAAGAACATTGACCCTGAATCTCTTTGTGCACAGTCCAGGGCTATAGCGGCGAAAAAGACTGTGGATCCCAAACATCTTGTCCTCCATGTTTCATGTTCCAACATTTGTTTCTGGTGCTCCATATGTATGTCTGCAGGAGGACTCTTCTATTCGAACCGTTTCCTGTCGCAATTGATCCCCAAGCACCGACCTGGAAAGGATCCACCTCCGTCCAACTTCCGACCGAAGCTTCCATGGGATCGGTTGGCCTAAGGGGTGGTTATTGCACAAGCCTGAAGCTGTGGACTATAATTAGGCATCCCCTATAGGGGCCCTGGTAGTTATCCACGTGTTTGTTGTTCTGATAGTTCGCTCTCCGCTCTCATCATCCACTGAGTGGAATTTTTTGGGGCACCCAGGCACACATTGACGGTCTTCAGGGCACTAGGAGGTTTGTGGCATAGCTCCTAGGTGTCGCACGTTAGTATATGCACTCTTTTAAAGTAATCATGGAAGCAAGTGGATGGCATGGCTGGATATGTTCCGAATACCAAACAGCTGGTTTTCACTCCACTTCGCCTACCGTTTGGTTCTTCAAAGATCGATGTCCGAAGCAACTCCAATTCACCATTGATGACTGGCAGTCTACACTCCTGAAAAAACACATCACATGGAAGTGGAAGACCACCCGTTGGTAAAGGACAGTAGTCTTCCAAGGGCCCATTCTCCACTTCCATGTGATGTGTTGGAAAAGGAGTGTATGGTCCTGCTCGGCCCATGCTCCACTCGCGAAGGGGCATGTGCCAGGCGGAGCCAAAGATGGGGTTCTTCAACCAGACATGAACCAGACATGACATCGTGGGACTGGATAGAATAGATGCCGCCCCAGAAAGATCCCTTAAGCAATCAACAACCACTTCCCAATATTCGGCATTCGGCAATGGAGTGTTTGGGTCAGTGGCACCAGGAATGGTTCTAGTTTAACGGACGGACATTTGAACAAAAGACAGGGGGCTTGCTTGCGGACACTCCTTCTGGCGAGGAAACTTTGATTAACATGCAGTCCAAGTACTCCGTGGTTTCTTGGCTGCTCCAGTGAGCTCTCTGAAGCTGTGGCTTGTTTCATGTGCGGAACCGATCGGATCCAACCAATTGGGGTTTCGACTTCCCTGGGAAGTCGTTATAGTAGTTTGATGGAATGTATGGCCCCCATCCAGACTCTTGGCTTAAATCCCAAGTGTTTAGTACAAAGCTTTGCCAGTTCAACACCTTTTGGGTGATAGCCAGAAGACGCAAGGGGACGAACGACTACCGCAGAGATTCTTTCGAGTTCAGCGTTCAGTCGCGTTGTGTTTGTTTGTTTCTTAAGGTGGTTTGTTTGTTTGGTTGGTTGGTTGGTTGGTTGGTTGGTTTTGGTTTACTTATTTGTTTCTTGTTTGTTTCTGTGTTTCTTTGTTTGATTGTTCTTAGATCAAACCGTTCTTTCATGTTTGTAAACGTCCTTGAGACAAAGGACCACAGGCAGAGACAAATCTGAGAGAAACCCTCCACAAATCAATTTGGAGGATGGTTGATACCAACTGTTTGGCAATTCACGTGAGGCGTGAGGTAGCACGGTCTGATACTAGATCTAAGTTCCAGGTCAATATTGGTCTCCATACGTTATTGCCATTGCTTGTTTTAAGCATGTTGCTCGGACCATCCTTTACTGCAGCGAGTTCGAGTTGCCCTAGTTCTGCAAGTCATGAACACATCCAGAGTCTATGTTTTTCTATAATTCCAGCTTCCAGGTAAAAATTGTTAAGAGGGGTCGGGTGGACCTGCTTTCAGCAGCATGGATTTGTCAGAAGGTTTCTTTATGCTTGTGCCCTGTCCAAACACCTCAAGATCAAATTATATATATATACTGTGACAGGTTGAACATGTGAATTTGGAACGACGTACCGGAGAACCCCTAAGCTCATTGGGTAATGGTTTGACTTTGAAAGCATTGTGACCAAGTAGCGGACTATTGGTGTTGAAGCTCAGGCTACACAAAACATTATGGTATTATGATTATGATATATTATGGTGATAAGTTCCCAAACTGATCCAATCAAAAGCACCCCCCCATTTCAATCATTTTAACTTGTTAGTTTTGTCATGTCTTGTCTCCTTTTCCATGTTGAAGATGTTTTATTTTTTTGAAGTTCCTTAGGGTGCTTATCCGAGATGATCCAGGGAACATGGTCCAACATCATCTGGCATTTCCACGTGCCTGGCGTCGTCTAACGCCGAATCCGCCTTGAGGACCCAGAGGCCATGGCTGAAGCGAAGAGACGGTTCGATGCCTTCATGGCAGGCGAGCCTGGGCTGCCTGGGCTGCCTGGCGGCGGGGCGGGGTGGTTTGAAGACGGAGAACGTGTTCTTTTTGAAGGAACGTTGGAAGGGTTGACAAAGTGTTCTAGAATTAAATAGTAAAGGACATATATATATATAACTATATGTTAACAGCAAATTATGCTTTGTTAGGCTAATGACATGTGAGTGTGCAAATCATAGGTCTTTAGACTCTTTAGATCAACATGAGTTGTGGATGACTTGCTTTTTTGCACGTAAGGTTGATTTTGGAGTCTAGAGCCATACAGAGCCCTATACCCGATCCAAAGCGATTTTTGGCGAAGCTCCTGCAGGCGACGCGTCCCTGCTGCCAGACGACATCAAAGAGCTCTTCGGCCAAACAATGAAAACGAAGATCGGATCCTCCAAAGTACCTTAGAAAATGGAACATGACCCCATGAAAAAATCTACTGTACTTGTATCCATTTCCTGCGGTAACTGAGACTCCAGGTACCTGTATCCTCCGCTTTCCTGGGTGTTTCCTGGTTTTTGGTGCCCAGAAACCACCCGATTTGTCGGGATGGCGGTGGCACGTCCACTCCATCGCCCATACTGTACTCATTCCCTAGGGATCTGAGAGCTGAGTTATGTAGGTGCCATTCAGCCTCAGCTCCAGTCATACCGAAGCCGAGAAGGTATTTTTATTTTTAGGGAATGAGTGCCACATGGCTTTCAGGGTCAAAGCAGGCCAGGCGGCGAAAGAACATGCTGGCCCTGAGACCTCCTACTGAGCCAGGCGTATTGCCACAGGCATGGTCCCCACTGAGCTCCGTTTTACTGACGGCCAACCATCACCGGCCGAGGATGGAAAGTCATGGATCTGTTCATCGGGAAAAAATCACACTTAAGACGTGCATGTACAGGGCCCCCCTAATTGTATAAGGGGTGTTAAATGTTTGGGCCCCTTAGAGCAATAGACTGTCTAATCATATAGTGTCTATATAGTGTCTATTAACCACCTCTGGCACCGGGGTAGAGGTGCCACCACGATGGAAAGGGTGTCTACTAACCACCCCAAAGTTGGGTAGACAAGTGTCCCTATGGATCCACTGCCACCTTCGAAACGAAGGTCATTGGAGCCTCCTGGCGCCTACAGAATTCATCAGAATCATATCGCCAATTACCTTCTCAGAAAATATGTGGATCCATAGGGTGTATGTATGACTTGTGTTTTTGGGCGGGGCGACCACCTCTTGGAGTCACTCCTGCAGAACGGCGGTTGTGCGACGAAGAGACCGACCGAGGCCGGTCTTTAAAATGGCTTTGAAGTCTGGCGGCAAGAAGGAGTGGCGATGGGGGGGTGGATGGGGGTGCAGGTCTGAGGTCGGTGGCGAGCCAGTTCTGAGCGGGAGGTAGGTGTAGCACGCCAGTTCGGAGCTATAGCAGCTAGGCCACACGTGGTAGACATAAAAGATAAAGACAGACGTCCCAGGAAAGCGCTGAACAGAAGGGCACAGAAACCATTTGTATTTGCTTCCAGCATTGTATTGGTCCAGGATCATCCAATGGGTCAGCTGGTTTTACTGGCGTTTTTTTCGGAATCTCACGGAAATCATAGCTCTGCAGGCAAATGAAGCACGTCCAGGGAACCGGGTAGGAGGCATTCAGTCATTCAGTATGAAGCATTTATTCAGATTTAGTTATGTTATATAGGACACACCCCAGTCACCTATTGGCAGCTAATCGTATAGGTATTTCCGCATGGTTTGACATCATGTGTTTTCTTCAGCCACACTCCCCCTTTCCTCTCTACCTCTTCACTGAAGCTCCTTCCTGCCCTGGGCTGGATCCATGACTGGGCTGTTCGGAACGCAGGAGTACCAAGCCCTTCGGAACTTGCAAGCGAAAGCCACCACCAACATCGAGCGAAAGCACGTCTATGCTCCTCGGCGTCTGCGGCTCTCGCGGCCGTGACGTAGGGCGGGAAGGGCGACGGGACCCATGAAGATGTTGGGGGATCTCCGTTAAGGTGCGTAAGGTGTGGAGGTTTCCTTTGGTGACTCCGTTTTAGGTTGGCCTCCCCCCCACATCCGGGAAGTTCGTTTTTGGTTCGATCGATTTCACCACAACGCGGAATCAAGCAGTCATTTGTGGGTTGGAATCAGCAATGGAAACTAGTTTGGGCAGCTCCTGTCAGATGGAGCAACCGCCTGTCACGAGAAACAAGGAATCTGAAAAAAGCCTGGAACCCTCAAAACACCATGCGTTTATCGCATTTTACTGTTCATTGTAGCAGTTTGTATGGCGGTTTGACCCTATTGAAGTTTTCGGTGAAGCGTCATCATCCAACAAAGAAGCGAAAAGGGACCTACAGAAAGACTCTGAACAATCGATTGGATTTTGTCCATCAGGAGCACAAGGCCACAAGGCTTGCCAAGACAAGTTCTGAACTACCTGGGGCCACCAATTTATTTGAAGCAAGCCAGGTATACCTGGGTGCACTTACCCATAAAATTCATGTATGTCATTTTTGCCGATCAGTTCGGGTGGTTTGAGGGGTCAATGTAGGCATATATATATATATGGCAGTCCCGTGGAGTGTTTGGGTTACTGTATATTTTAGCAAAAGTGCTGGAATTGGTGAAACTACATATTTTTTTTTCTCGTGATTTTGTGGGAGAAGTTTCAAACCACAAGCCTGTCTTCAACACAAACTTTCAAAACTGTTGCCAAGATGTTGTGCCGTGAGGGAGTACCGTGTTGCGCTGTGCTTACAGCGGGGCGCTGTGTGGTGTGTCGTTTTCATACGCCGCTTGCAGATGTGTTCCGAAACAAACTAAAATGGTGTCCTTTCCAAAATATGTAATATTTAACACATACTGTTGTTCTAGAAACAGCAATCATGTTGTTCATGCTTAGGAAGATGCAGGTGTTGCCCTTGTGGCCACCTTAGATGCCGCAGGTGAAAAGCGAGCACTCTTTGGGTTGGACCTGCACAATCAGCCAATCGTTCACTATTCTGGCCAGAACAGTCAGCACAGCTCCATAGCTGTACCAAAACAAACACAAATCTGGGAGACGATCGTCATAAATCTTCAGAACCTCTTGCTTTTGCTCGGGTTCCTCTTCATGTTCCCAGTTCCTTTGGTCAATCCCCCGGTTGCGTTTTTGTTTTTTCTCAGCTGGAGCAGCCAAACCCAAGACTCACCCTAGGGTTCCAGTCGTACCTTGCTTTCGAAGGTGGGACTGAGGTGGCTGCCAGGAGGATCCAGTCATACCGAACCTGAGGAGATACGACGAACCGAGCGTCAAGGATTCGTTCCGAACTCCCCGCGGCAGACGGCCCAGGTCACCATTGGCCATACTGCAGACATTGCCCTGAAGAAGGACGTCTTGGACTGGGTCTCTTCGAAGAATTGGACGAATGGAGAGATCTTTGTGGAAGCTAAGATGAGTTTGAGTGTAAGTTGCAAGATGCTGAGAGATTGCAAGTACTTGGTTTCTTGATGTTTCTTGATGTTCCTCGTTGCATTTGATGTTTGGAAGGGGTCAAGGGATCTATTTAGTTTCAACTTCAGAACATTTACTAGATCGCAAGTGCTTGCGAGTTTCCTGATGTTGGTTTGATTCAGCTGAAGCTCAGCTCGTTAACAGACACCAGTGCTGTGTGGGTTTCCTTGTTGGTAGTTGAACTTTCTCTCTCAACTGCAGATAGATACAGAACCCAGTCACTGTGTATATAC